CTCTCTCTCTCTCTCTCTATATATATATATACATACAAAATACAATTGTACCACATCGTGTAAAAAAAATAAAAAAAGAAGACTGAGCTTGAATCAGAGTGGGAAAACATTTTATGCCTATTCCAAATCCAAACAGGCAAAAGCGCCATCACGTTCACCTTGTAAAACAAAATATATAATAACATATCAACACTCTTAACTCCCCATCCAGCACATTTTATGCCTTTTCTGTTCGCCAATGTTGCTCTTCCTTCATTCCCTTCCATGCTTTCCCTCTAACAGTTTACTCCATGACCAGAGGCCTGGGATACATTAGCACCCAGGACCAACAACCGACAACCGGTCTTCAGTGTTGACTGCTGTGTCAGTGTCATGCTTGGTTAATTTCATCTCATCGTTAACTACAAGTTGTATCTTGGGTGACAATTTTTTTGCTTCCTCTGGAGTATAGATAAAAATCTTCCTCACCATGCTGCAAAACTCACTGCAATATAAGTTCACAGATAAACATCAGTCAGAAAGCAGAAATTAAAAACTTTTATGCTCTTATCAACAGCATTTATTAAAGCAGAGGGATAGCATATATGTGACCTGCAAGTCCAAGATTTTACCGTTTATGAATTATTACAGGTGCAAGACTGGAGATTAGAATAGAAAAAGGCTCATATACAAAACTCTTGTTCATCCATTGCGCATAAACAAACATCAGAGTTATTACTAGATTGTTATACAAGATATTAGCAGGACCATGGATCAGTGGAGCAGAAAAGAAAGAGTAAGAACAGGGATCAAAAAGTTATCAAAAACCAACTCTGAAAGACTTACTGCCATGGATCATCCCCGACCATCATGATGTCATCTTCATCATCAGTGTAAACAACCTGCCATTTCTTAGTGGATCCACAAAGCTGACCTTCAATATCAAACATCTCCTCAAATTTTTTTAGCAAGTCCTCATAACAATCAAATCTTGTCAAATCGACACCTCTTCCAACGGCCATACCTTGCATATGCACCTGCAAAATGATGCATCTTTTCAACAAGATTATCTAACTCGTATAAGCAGGGTCATATCTGCTTCTACATCAGAAGGCAAAGAATAAACCCCTCACTCTAACCATTGAAAACAGAAAAGCCATTTCATAAAGTACTGAAGTACACATATAGAAGACGTAGATAAAGGACGGGAAACCAGTAAGAAGGGAAGAAATCAAAACAAAGTAAATTAGAAAAATGGAAATTGAATCACCTTTGTGCAGCTTCGAATTTGTCTGCTTTGTGACTCCTGAGGAGATCGTTGGTATGACTTCTCCAGATCACAACTTACAGAAGGAAAATCAGATCGATTTAGATTTGATGGTTCAGAGTTCTGGTCAGTGTCAGCATCTGGCTGGTCATCAGCTGCAGTGATTGCAACCATTTGTGAAACTTCATCACAGTTATTATTGTTAAGTAATTGAATGCCAAAAAGCCTGTATCCATTCCCAGTGCCCTGATGCCTTGCACTAGTTTCTTTGTTAACAAAAGGTACAAAAGACTCTTTTACACTTTCAACACGGGTAGACCAATACATGGAGCTGCTAGACACCACAGGCAATCCTCCATCCCCACTAAAACCTATGGAGTTAGCCTTTGCAGCATGGGAGAATTTAGGTGATGGATAGAGGTCCTGTCCTCGCTGAGAGTCGCAGTTTGATAAAGCAGGAAATTCAGGTGAAGACTTCCACATTCCTAATGCAGAAAACTCAAAAAGGGTAAAATTAAAAATTCTGAAGCAAGTACTATGCAGAAAACATACAGAAATTATGTTATACCAAGTGCAGAAAGGTCTGTAGTTGGTGTAGGTAAAACAGGTGGTCGTGCTCGCTTGTTCCTCTGTGCAGATTGTGAAGTTGAAGCAGTATTAGTTGCAGCCAGAGGCTCCAATTCCCATGCAGACACTCTTTCTGGACGTACAATCGATGAAGGTTCATCCCACTGAACCTGGTATTGGAAAAAAAACAGCTTCAGAACACAAATACAAGAGTAACACTTGAAACACGGAAATACCAAAAGATAAGAATGAAGCCAAGCAAAATCATATGCAGTGGTAAGTTATTATCGAGGGACATCCAAGCAACACCAATGAAAAGCATTTCCTAGAAACTAAGACCACAAAAGGAAATTATTTCTGCTCAAAGGCAAACTCCAACGGCTTGATGCAAAACTTCTAACTTGAAGTTCTCCAGTTGAAATTTTGAAATCATTGGAACATGAGAGAGGGTTGATGGAATGGTGTTTGTCCTCATTGTACTTGCATTGGCCTTAATATTACTATCAAATAAAAAAGAAGATAATTTATTTGACCTTTAGAGTTCTCCACTCAGAGTCAGCCCATCCAGATGCATTATTATCCCCAAAACCAACAATAGTGCCACTAAACCTGTAGATGAGAAAAGATACAGATTAACAAGCATAAACAACTGCCTATTCGAAGTAGTTATTTAGTCAGAGGGATACCTTCTTTCAGGAACTTCTTCACCCTCAAATCTCATCTTGAACCTCATACCAACAGAAATCTTGTGGCTACAAGCTTCAAGATATTTGTTGACACTAACAATGAACTCCGACCGACTTGTCCTGATAAATATAATACTTGTTAGAAGAAATATCCAATTTTAAAAATTTACTTCTTATTTAATAAAACAAAAAAAAAAAAAAACCTGCATTTTGATTTTTAATTCATTGGTACTAGGAGAAGTTGAGAACCATTTGCAATCAGAAGAAGAGTGCATAATAAGTACAACTACAATATAGACCAATTGAGATGCCTCAAAATAAGGGGAAAAAAAGCAAGGTTACGAAATATATTAACACATCCATATATGTTAACATCATCATCATTGAATATTTGCCAAAAAAAAAAAAAAGACCCTTAACATTTTGTTGGACATATATTTAAAATTTAATGCACCTGAAGTCTAAATAAAATAGATAAATAAAACAAGATTAAGAAGAATTAACAACTCCTTACAAAGAAACTTATATACATAAATACATATTGCTTTAATCTAAAAGTATAAAGATCAATTTTGAATCAGGAACAAAAATATGCAGGTATGAACAAAATTAGCACATGACCATTTACATAAAAATCACATTTGTAAAAAAAATGTAATAAGAAACAAAACAAATAAATAAATAAACATAATGATGATCAAACAACAACACTAAGCAATGAATATTCAAAGAAGTCTGATGATCATATAGAAAGACAGTTGAACCCACTAATGAGGTAGGACATAAAACCTTGGCTTGTAGAAGACAGAGAAGAGACTTCGAGTTGCAATGGCATGAGATGCAGTGGCAAGCACCCCAAGATGCATGCTGTGACTAGATATAACAGAAGACGGCATATTTGCCTGCTGTCTCATGAGCCTGCGTACTCCAACACGCAGCTCTCCATTTTCACTCCTAGAGAAAAGGTAAATTTCAGTAAGAGCAAGATTTAGAAAGAGTATGTAATAGAAACAAATACAATTAAAACTATCATCCAGAGGGAAAAAAAATTCTTGCCTCAGGAATATGAATGCATCACCAGCTACCAATTTTTTGGTACTAACAAAGACACTCCACCCAGTTGTTAGTAAGTGACGCCTGGGTTGCCCTGGAAATAAACATTTAAAATGTTAATATGAGAATGCTGTGAGAAGTGAGAACCAAGAAAACAATGAAACAAACAGCATAGCATAGAAATGAAAATATAACAAATTATTAATAATGAAAGCATTCCATCAATGAATAAAATCCATGTGCAAAAAAGGTAGAGAGGTATCTGTAAAAATAAAAATCTAATAAAGAAAATGAGATGGCCCAATAATGTTACGACGTGGCACAAAATTTCAAGTACAAATCAATGAGCCTTGGCACTTTCTTGATCAATGTCAGAAAAGGTCAAAATTTGCATGCATTAAGTTTATAAGCATAGAAACTAGAAAGATTATCAAAATGTATATCATGTAGCTAATGTACATCATGAAAGCTTGTATGGAGCTAGCTATTTCCAGTTATAACTACAGAAATTTAGTAAAATCAGAACAAAAGCAATCATTTATGACCTCGAAAAATATGCCGAAAATGCCATTCATTGCCATGCAGATCAGTTGCAACCAATTCCTGCCAAGGTGGCTGCTGAGACATATCCTGGGAAAAGAAGAGATCACACAAGGTACTCAAAAAGAAATCTAAAAAGGGAAAAAAAAAAGAAAAAAAGAAAAAAAAAGGATATAACAAGGAAGTGAACTAATGAGTTCAAACTAACCAGTGGTGGCAAACAATCATCTGCATGACGTCGCAAAACAGAGAAGCCACCATGGGTACTTGTGTCAGAAGCAGTAAGAGTCTTGCAAAATGAATGCACGATGCACTTTTCGGGTTCTGAAAGTGGAGGATCTGGGCTTGCTATCTCACTTTGCTGGAGAAAAAAAGGGAATAAAAATAAGGATATCCATTAGCCAGAAGTACATACAAAAAAATATTGATACGAAAGAATTTCAAATATTGATACGAAAAAATTTCAACAGGACAATCAAGAAAGAATATCAGTTTCCAAACTCAGGTCAATAACCATAGCTATAGCAAGATAGTGGAGTAACTGACATCAGCTTCAGGAAGCAAAGTTATCTGCGCATAAACTTCATCTGTTTCAGATTCGGCCTGCATGCAAGGGCAAAAGTTTCTTAGCATGAGAAACTGAAGCACTCAAGCAAGGCTATTAGCAATAACCAGCCACAAACAACTTACCCTACGCTGAATGTTAACCACTTTACACAGTATTTTAGATGGGAGATTGAATGAAGGCATATGCTGCTCTAACCCCTGATGCGTTGATGCCTCCAGCTGTAGAATTGAAAAAGTAGGAAGCAGAAGAATGGATGGTGAAACAGAAGAAGCCAAACAAAGTGTTGTATCAGAGAAGTTGGTTAAATTAAGAAATCCACAAATGCCTAAATCCAATCCCTAGATGGGTGGGGAATGATAGCCAGTCATGTGGAGCCACATAATTATTGGGTTGAGGGATGAGTTCTCGCTTCTCATCATGGGGCATGGCTTTTTATTCATGCTAAAGTCTAGCACAAACTCCACAAAAAAGATAGGTGCAATCAAGAACGTAATAATTCTATGCAATAAGAATCAAATATATCAGGGAGGGACAGACTGAAATGTTCAATTGTGTGGAATTGTCAGAAGGAAAACTTGATGCTACAAAATCAATACATTCATATAAAAGTTTCAAACTTTCAGAAACAAAAAGCTCCATAAAACTGAAAGTTTAACTTTGTGGTTTTAAGGTAGAAAAAGTGATTAGAGGCGTAAGGTTAGTGCGAAGAATCAAAGATTAAATAAACATACTTGTTCCATGTGTCCTTGTGGAAAGTAATAAACTCGCTCTCCTTCACGAGGAAGAGTGACGAGAGGTCCAGCACAAGCATGCCATAATTCCTTGAATAGAGCACCATTGGTGACACCTGAAGAGGGAAGGGAAAAATGGTTAGGTAAAGTTTCAAGGTTCAGCAGAGATTTAAGAAAGTCTTATGCTTTGTCATCAGAAAAGCAGCAAGTCTGAGCTATCCGTCACAGAAACAAATTCACCTCAGAGATTCATTTTAGCTCTGCTTCCAATCCAAATAAATAAAAAAATAAATAAAGAGAGAAGGGGGGAATGGTTAGGTAGGAAAACATATTATATGCTACATCAGTTTACAAATGCAAAGCGTGTCTATTTAGTCCAATTTCATCCTATTACTACTCGTACCACAATTAAAAGACTGAATTTTCGATGAAAATGTAGAAAGCTATAAACACAAAACATTTTAAGCTGTGCCTGTGGTATATTAGTATATAAAGCAACTGAAAAAATAGCAAGTTGGAATCCTGCTAGCAAAAAAATGCATGCCTTGTTTCATAATCAATCAACATTGCCACCTGACATATTGGTCTTAGTTATGATTTCAAAAAAAAAAAAAAAGACAGACCTGATTGGCGTCCTCCAGAGGGATGATTGGAAGCCATAAAACTGAAATCCCCAGTGAACCCCAAAAAAACACAAAATGTAGAAGGAGCCTGCATAAAAATTAAAAATGAAACAAAAAAGGAGAGGCGTTTATATATATATATATAGTTGATGCAATCTACCCAGAGGGTCACAGTGAGAGAAGTGTTTCGGCCTTTAATATAATTAATTAAATAATAATTAAGAACCAGAAGCATAGAAGTGTAGGTGGCGTCATTGGCATTGGCGTAATTAGAAGGAAAATTAATGAAACAACAATGATTTGATGATCAAAGAGAAAAGACAACAAATTTTAACAGGAAATGAAATTGGGATCTGATCTGATCTGATCCATTTCCATCTAAATAAGCTGAAGCTGAAGCTGAAAACAGTGTGTGTGTGAGGGGGAGGGGGGGGGGGAATAAAAGTAAATCAAAAAAATCTCCATTAATTCGGCAACAAAACAGAAAAAGGAGATTGAACTGAACTCTTACCCTGGTGCTGGGTGCTGGATGCTGGATGATTATGTATCTTGTTCGAATCAGTAGAGTGGGATCCAAAATTAAGGAATTAGGGCTTGAAAATCAATTCAGCTGGATCACAGAGCATAGGAGGAGGAAGAAAGAAAGAAAGAAAAATGGAAAAACACAAGACAAGACAGTAAATATATATTATAAATAAATAAATTATTTTTGTCAATGTTCGGTGGAAGCCGACACCACTTCTTTTCGTTGTGGCTGCTCCCTTCTCTTCTTTCTCTAGCTTATTTATTTATTTTTTTTATTAACCCCCCCACTTTGAAAAAATATTTAAATTTGATTAATTCAGAATCATGTCGCATAAAATTTCATTAGAGGAGTTTTTTCATATGTATTTTTTTATTTATAAAATTTAAATTTGAAAAATTAAATCACTTCCCCTCAAATAAACAAATATTTGATTTTAGTTTATTTATTTATTTCAAGCGAGGAATAAAAATCCTTTTATTATTTTTTTCTTAATAAGTTGAGCTATAGTTTTTTTTAAGGTGAATTTATTTCCGTAGATCAAGTGACTCTAACTATTCTTATAAAATTCATATTTTTCTTTCCAACGGTTCGAACTAGCCTCGTAACTAAAGTAACTAAAATGTTAAAAAAGAAATAGTTTTTTCCAAGGTTTAAAACCAATCATCATCCCTGTACTTTAAAATTTATTCATTCTTGTCCCTTTACTAAGGATTTGTTCATTGTCATCCCTCTACTCCACCAAAGAGTCAAGTGTCGTCCCTCTCCTCCTCATTTTTGGTTTATTCATTGTCGTCCTCATTTGGACACCGTTACTTGTGGCGTTTATTTTGACCATTATATGTCGTTAGTCAACTATTAACACAATTCTTTATGTTTTGTTCACTTGTTCTAATTTAGTAGAAAGTAGAAACCACATCTACTATCCTTTTCATCATCTTCCACTGCAGTTCCCCAAACTCATCCTTCTTTTTCCATTTTTTCGCAGAAACCTAATTCCCAGCTCAAGATTAAATGAAATTAGCATTTTCCAACCCACTTTATAGATTGTTGGATATATTTTTATTTTAAAAAAAACAATAATTAAAATTTTATTATTTTATAATTTAAACTGTATTAAATTATAAAATAAAAATATTTTAATAGAGAAAATTCTTAATAT